GTGTGTGTGTGTGTGTCCTGTCTATCAGATGGTACCACGGTTCACTGTCGCGTTCGGAGGCAGAGTCGCTGCTAACGCTGTGTAAAGAGTGTAGCTACCTGGTGAGGAACAGTCAGACCAACCGCTCTGAGTACTCTCTGTCTCTACGGTAAGACTCGGACATACACTCACACACTGACTTAAAAAGCAACGGCAACCATAATTTAATTGCATACTTCTCAGTTCGAGAGTGTGCAAAGTATGTGTGAAGCCACCTCAGCTACCGATCTCATTCCGTAGTCTCCACACCTCTCCATCTGTCTCTCCCTCCCCTACACCATCACCCCTACTCAAGATCACTGCTGCACTGATTCCTCTCCCGATACTCATTTGCAGGGCACAATACTGCTTATCTGGTCAAATCTCTCCCTTATAATTACTACCATGATCCATCGTCCTGGCCTCACATCTCTCTCCCACCATCCCTCTGTCCTCACCCCATCCTTGGCCCATCTCTGTGGCTTCCCTCTTTGGCCCCAGCGGGCCTTCTAAGTGGTAATCAGGCAGGTAGAGCACACTTCAGTGCACACATCATCCTCCCCATAATCACTAATGAATATGAATTACCTTCTGTGGGCCACACAAGACGGGAATCTGGAAGGGAGGGGAGAAGGGGGGGTGCAGGAGTGTCACTGTGTTGTGCTGACATATAAACAAGCTCATGCATTACTCATTTACATGAGTAGAGTGGGTTTGACACACACACACACACACATACACGCACACACGCGCATTCAAGCAACAAGGTCACTGTTGGTACCAGCTGCCGCATGTGGGGTTTGGAAGAAGTAATATCTCTTCTAGAACTACAAAATCTATAAACCTTACATTATTTCCATTGTTTAGAAGGTGGATCTCTGTCATTGAAGTTGACCTTCAGAAAAAAATCCCAATCTGAAAAGAGTTGGCGCCACTTAGATCTTTAACCAGCTTAAAGGGAAACTCTGGTTTAGTATAGCCTCCTTTTCTTATTTTTGCCCAATTGCTAATAACATTGTACACACAAAGTTATTTGTTAAGATCCAGGAACAACGCATTGTTAAAAAAAAGTCAGTTGGGTCAAGAAACTAGAGCAGTCTGGTCATGCAGGTCAACTCCTGGTTAAATAAAGCAAAAAGAATTACCTAAACTCATAAACATTTGTCCCAGTTAAAAGACTTTGACCTCTTTTGACCTTCCTTACTTTCCACTGTTGTCATTTTTCTGTGCAATTATGCACTATTATCAGCGTTTTTGGTGCACTCACTTTTGCCTTTAACTCTAAATGCCCTCTTGCCCAATGTTTTTCATAGCATTGTTGTTTATGGTGTATGAAACTGTCTGCATGTTTAAAATGTGTGTCTCCCTTTACATTGTCTCATACATTGTATCCCTTGTCCTCCATCTTTTTAGTCCACACATGCCATTGGACTAGTACCCTTGAGTGTAATCTTGTGTCAGACGTTTTGAATCAGGGCCATTTACTTGAATGTATAAACACTTAAGTGCTCTTGCGTTCTGTTTGTCTTGTATGCCTGAAGAGGGGTTATGACAAAAAGCTTGTGTGTTTAATTAAATGGAAATTGAAGGTGTTTTTTTGTTCCACTTGTATTTGTCCTTCCAGCATCTAGCAAAGCCTTTCAGACAGGTGAGCAGTAGCCACTGTAATCCTTTTACCTCCACACAGTGGTTTAGATTACAGTTAAACCATTGGCTTGTTTGTTTGATCACTTGTGTTTCTTGGTGTTGGACTTTGTTGTTGGGATTCTGCCGGGTTCCCACATGTTAGAAATTACTTTAGTGAGCACAGTGTTATCACAAAAGAAAGAAATGGCATCCAAAACTCCCAAAATAACACGCAAGTTGTAATAAATTGGAATTTTGTCTCAGAAAGTATAATTTTCCACCATGTCTGTGTCTAGATTGGATAGCGGCAGAAGGTCAGACTTTATCAGGGTATTGTGACTGGTTTGCTAGTTGTTGTTGTAAGATACTTACTACTGTAAGAACTACCTTCATGATGTCAATATGCCCTTCAGTAAGGACAGCTTCAGCCAATACAGCCAATAGCAGCTACATTTAGTGAAATAATGCAGCATTTATGTGCTTTTGTCATTGTGGTGGTTCCTACATATACTACATTGCACAGTAATGTGGACATTGGGAAGAATGACGAAGGATATTTAATCGAGACAAAGTGAATAGACATTTCAAAGTGAGTCAAACAGACCTGCCAGATTTAAAACAACCTGAATATTTATGAAAGAGCACAGGTAGCTTCTAATGTAGCGTCACAAAGAGTCCCCAAAACAAGCAGGACTGGATAAAAGCTGACGTTATGAAGCATGTGCTTCTGGAGGCCAGTGGGACGATCATAAATTGCTTGTTGTTTGTCTGTTTGTAGTCACAGTGAGTGTTTGGGGTTTTGCTGCTCTTCAAAATTTAATTTGGTTTACTAGAACAATGACAATTATGGTGACCGTTTCAGCCCTTGTCTTTCCCTCTGTTTCTATAATTAGACATACATCATGACTGGCTGCCTGGCTCTTAAAGGGGAAGTCCTGTTGTGGCTGCCTGACTCTTAAAGGGAAGGAACCAGCGTGGTTCTCTTGGCTAAGCCACTTTCACAGTCCAGCGTTCTTCTTTCACTCTCTCTGGCTTTGTCACTCCTTCCGTGTGCTGTTACACCACTCATTCATCCATCATAATGTCCCTTTCTTCCTAATTTGTGAGACGGTGTTAAATCTTGGTTAGAATCATGTCCTTAAAGTGCAGGAAAAAGACATGAACATAAATCCAGGCTGTCATCTCCACTGTGTCATTATGTGACAAAATGTGTGGAAGGCTGTATGATGTTTTATGTGCCCCACATTTAATGTCATCTTTCTTCTCTCCTCTGTACTTTTTTTCTCACTTTCACATTGGATCTCTCCCATTCTCTTTCTTCTTTTCTCTCCTGTTCTCAATCCATTCTTCAATTTTTCCCCCTCACAGGAGCTGCCAGGGTTTCATGCACATGAAGTTCACCCAGTGCAAAGATGGCAAGTACGTGCTTGGACAGAACAGCCCTCCCTTTGACACCATCCCAGAAGTCATCCACTTCTATACCACACACAAACTCCCGATCCGAGGTGCCGAGCACCTGTCCCTGCTGTTCCCCGTGCTGGTGCAGACACTCTGACTGACCCTGATGGTCTCTCTGGACCTCTGGGATTTTATTGTGTTTGGACAAATAAAAAACTTGAATGTTTGACGGGATCTTTCCAGTGGATTCTCTCTTCTTGTTGGACTGGACTACTTTTGATGATTCAACACACCAGGGGCTAATGCTCTCACCTACCACTGCTGTTGTACCTGTGCCAAGTGTCTCTAACATCCAGTGGATCAATTCATATGAAATGCAATACCTGAACTTTAGGCCACCCTTTGCTGTAACTCCTTTCTCTCATCACCTTGCTGAACCAAGGGGGGGTGACTTCAGGACATCTCAAATTCTCCTTTTCCTTACTATATATTTCAAATGCAGAGGAAGTTAGCAGAGCTGTAGTTGGGAGAAAGTCTGTATATTCTGAATGTTCTGATGCCCCAGTTTACAGAAGACCTGCAGAAGATTTAGGTTTAATTACTGCTGTTCCACAAAAAACACCTCATTGACACGTAAAAATATTGCTGTTGTAAGGTGAAAACCTCACTAGTCATATTTTGTTGATTTTTCAGAATCAGAATCAATAAATTCAGTTGTACTGTATAAGATGAGAAACCTTTTCATCCTCGGGCTTAGGAGACCCTTTTGTAAATGTTGGAAAATTTCCATAAAACAAAAACAAAAAAAAACAATGCTATTTTCGAAGATAAGGTTTTTACCAACAGCAGTTATATTTCAGATGCTTTTCTACACAAAGCCACCTGTTAATTTTCATCCAGTCTGTTCTGCACTGTCATGCTGCTGTATGTTGAGGATTTGCCTGACACATCTCCATGTTACTTGTTGATTGTTCATCGTAAGCAACAGAGAACCTGTGTTGTATTGGTACTTGTGTTGACTTTGCTGACCTGTATCTCTTGTCGGTTGCCTACGTTGCATTTGGTAGACAATGCTGGATTTGTAAAAAAGCAACCTGTCACTGCTGTCATCGTCGTTTCACTGAAGCTGAGCTCAGAAGCTGAGCTGTAGGCTACATCTGAAGCAAAGAGATGCTAATCCGGAAATGCTCTCGAACAAACTCTCAAACTTTGTGACTGTTGGCCACTTTCTCACACTTCCTACATATTTTCGGCTGGCCAAGTCATTACATGCTTGTTGGTGAGTTGTATTTGAGTTAAATGCTTGCCATCTGGAATGGGTTCCCATGTCTGCTGCCTGGTTGCAGCGTTGTGTGGCAAAAACTGATTTCAAAGGAGAGCCAACTTCTTCCAAACACATTTATGACCATTGGAAATGACAAATGGAAACATTATTTAAATCAGTATTTCTCAATGCAAAATGCTATATTGACTGGGTTGTATTAAGTGTTATTATTATGGGCCTTTTCTGTTACTAGTAAAAGATGACAGGATGTGTAATTTACCTGCTGTGTTGAAGCATCTTATCTGTATCCAAACATTTCTAACATGTGTTGACTACATGTAGATCTTTACGTAGATCAATGGTTCCCAACTTGAGGACTCGGAGCCCCCACAAAAGGGTTTGGAGATGAATCATGGCAGGAATATTTTTTTAACCTCCTTTTAAAAATTAATCAAAAATAATTGGAGGAGGATAAATTACTGCTGTAGTGCTCACAAATTGTAGACATGCAACCTATGATTGGTCGCAACAAAAATCCTTTTGGTCTTGTGTTATATTCAGAAAAAAGACACTTCCAAAATATTCTGACAGAGTATAGCTGATCAAATTTTATACAATAGAATAATTTGCTATGCAGAAAAAAGGAAAAGAGGCACAAAGGACTTGGCAAGGCTGCATGCTGCACACACTCAAACGCACACATTTGCTTTTCTTCATCCATTAACAGCAGGGTTGGGAGGGAGAGGGTGAGGACTGGGGGTGAGGTGTGGCTGAGGAGGGGTGAGGCAGCCCTCATTATTTGGGCTGCGCGGCAGTGAAAAGCACTGGGATTGCTTTCATTACTGAGCCAAATGAAATAGCAGAGGCTGATTACCCGCGTGACGGAGAGAGGAGACGAGCTGGATCACTCTCTATTGGGGAAAAAGAGTGAAGGAAGAAAAAAATGGGGAAGGGGGAGAAGGAGGAGGGAGACACTGCTTGGCTGTACTTTCCCAACAAGACTCCAAACAAGTGTGTGTATGTGTGTGTGGGGGGGTGTTTGTGAGTGAGAGAGAGAGAGAGAGAGAGACGGTGACAACAGCACTGGCTGAAACCACAGATATTAAAGTGCAATTGTGACTCTGTTTAATCAGTGAATTGTTGCCATATTATTTTGAGACATTGATATAATTACTGTAAACAAACAGGATCATCCATCCTGGCTGACTGGCGGGCACTAATGGCTTCTCTTACACTGTGTTCCACTGGAGTTGAGTTCACAGGAAATGTGCAGGCTTGTATGATAATGCAGCTTTAAACTCATTCTCACTGGAAGCACAGCGCTCTTTGTATTTAGTCTGAACTGATCTTTAGGCCACCTAAACGGAAACACGCCAAAGCCTGAAGTTGTTCAACGCTAACAAATCTCACTTTTGTTAAAATGTTGTTTTTTTTTTAAATAGAAATAATACATGATTCATCATTTAACATTTAACATCAGTATCACATTCCACCTTTACAGAAAGAGCTATGAAAGCTAGCAAAACAAGCTAACTTAGACATTTGGCTGAATTTTAGCTCCCATCTCTGTTGTTAGTGACAGTCATATTGGAACTGAAGATGCTGGGTTTATTGGAAATAATGTTCATGACACATCATGAGTATCTTCATATATCTCAGTGTTTAAATGCTACAGTAGCCTCTTTAAGCATGATGCTGGGTTGTACATATTGTTGTAATCCACTACATTGCAGTCAAACCAAACACAGAGTTTGAGAATTAGATATCTGCCACTGGTAAAACTTTATTCTGTTGTTACAATCCAAATACGCAAACGAGTGAGGGGAATGAATGCCATACATAGTCATGTGGGCTACAATAACTTTCCATAATGACTTTTAAATCCAATAATGCCTCTGTGGATAGCGTCTTCCGTTTGTGTCGGAGAGAACAAACAACAATCCAAGAACAGAGAACACAGCTTAAGACAGGCTGAGTGATTGATGTGGCATCGTCAAGAGGTTTGACTTCCTCAGACCAGACATGATGCATCATTCTCTCAATGATACTTGTTTTTGTCTCTCAGGTCATGTCCACACACCTTTGACTGGCAGGTAAAGTTAAAAAAAAAAGTGATTTATTCTCAGCATTCATTTGTTACATTTGGGCTGATATAAATTTCAGGTAACTATGTTTTTCCAGGATATGAAATCTAATTTTTGGTTGCCTTGTTACTGCACACCCTGTCATTATGTCTTGCTATTGTTTCCTTCCTCACTTAACTTTTCTCAGTCTGACTCATACTCTCTCTCCACCTAATGTCTGCCAGACGCTTTGTGTATGTATGTACAGTGTGTGTGTGTGTGTGTGTGTGTCACCTTTCTCCCACTTCCTGCTGCTAGCTGCAGCTTGTCCAGTGCAGAGCTGGAGCCTTCACCTGTAGAGAGAACAGGGGAAGGTGAGGTGCTAGGTTACAAACGCACCCAATGTCACTCTGTCCGTTCTGCTCCCCTGCCCACCTCCACACAGTGCACAGTGTCCTCTGTGTCCCCCCCCCCGCATACCTAACAAGCACCACGTCCATTTTCTACAGCGCCGGTCTCGACATTTTTTACATAATGCAAGCCCGGTCTTTTCATCAATGAAAATGATTGGTAGGTACAAACAGACATCCATTTAGACTGGCAGGCTCTTATGGCTTCTACAGTGGGACACTGTTCTTTCAGTGCTAACATTTCTACTGGCCCTTTTTAAGAGAGCTTCTGTTCCCTATAGCCTCAGCTAAACGTTGTATTTTCTCTTCCTCTTTAATCCAGTGGTCTAAAAAGCTGAAACATCAGACTGGGGTTTTCTGTCCATATTCTGCACTGGATAGACAAATTTGATCAAGTCATCATTTATAGAAAGATACAAATTACGTCTCATGAGCCACGCAAGCCTCTTTTAAGCTTACAGGTCTACCATGCTTTCTTTGTGCTTAACTTGAGCCTTTTATAGGAAACAGTAGCCTATACATTAAACATGCTATCAATAAGAGAAGTAATGGAAAAAAGAGCAGATGATAGCCATCGGTTGTGCATTCAGAAAAGGTCTAAGAATGTCAAACTGAAGCTGGCCTCATTTTGGAAAGTTAAAGGCACCCTGTAAACAAAAAGAAGTTCTGTTTATGTTCAGTATTTTATTACAAAACACATTATTTGTATCCTTTGTGCATTGTATTGTGCGTATTGTGTATTCTACATTGTTTACATCCATACTTGGCGGCATCCTCGCACTACAAACAAAAAGGAGGACCCACCAGCGCTACTAGTGGTCAAAACTCCCCAGGGTACCTTTAAGTGAAATTAAAAAACATTTTCTGCTTTGTCATGTTATATTATTACTTGAGCTGATTTTAAGGGATTTCATTTGGTAGTTGAAAATGAACTGAATAACAGAGGCCAAAAGAAGCTGGAAATCTTGTCATGTGTGCTCTCAAAAATTACAGTTAACATAAAAATTAGGGTCAAACTAATTTAGCGGCGGTAAACACAGAGTGCCCTGCGGTAGCTAGCTAATATAGTAATGTGTACACATGAAGGGAGACAAGTGTACTGATGGTGTGCCATCTGTGAGGCTGTGTTGTGTCCACACCATCCAGTGACCCAGAAAACAATGTTCTGGTTTTTTGTGTGAAAGATAGATAAACCGAACAGAGCACGGCACTCTATACTAACAGTATACTAACATAACAGTTTGCACATTAATGACAAATGCTGCTTTTTCTCTTCTTCTTTTAATACAAGTGGGTTCTGTCATGAAATCTGATTCAAATGCCTGCAGATGGACTGATGTTTCGTGGGCTCTTCCCAGCACAGTGTTGAGGTGAGATTATGATTTATGTTTTCTGTACATCAGCAGTTTGTTGGGAGTAAATAGAAGGATTGGGTACTTAGCACTAGCAATTACACAATAACCAAAATAACAGTACAAAGATGTGTGCTTCTGGGAAAACCCTGAGCTGAAGATGTCCTCAAAATAAAAAAAGCAAACCACTCAAATCGTTGATTTAAAGCTCTTCAGTGAGTTTATCGTGGACAGGAATAAGTTGGAATAAAGCAACGGTGGCCCAGAGACCCCGTTTACTGCCTTCATATCATACTGGGTCATGCTGTGCTGCTGCTGGACGAACCCTGTGTGTTTATTGCTATTCCTGTTCCCACATGGTCAGATGGCACTGCGGTATCCGACGCCAAGTTGTCAGTAATTCACCCGACCTGAGTGACACACTCTCAGCAGCTCAAAAATTGGCAAAGTGGCACACACAATCAGCAGAGGCAATCTGTTTTATTTCCTGCAGAGGAGGAAGGAGCAAGGAGGTGATCTGAGGACATGGAGAACTCTGTGACCTCCCCCCACCCTTTCCTTTACCACCACCACAACACCACTGGCATGTGTGATG